ATATATATATATATATATATATATATATATATATATATATATATATATATATGTTAGTTGTGTAATTGTACACTCTGTAATATGTTAAGATGAAAATGTTCTAGAGTGTGTATTATATAATTTTCATACCCAGCGCAAGCAGAAAGATGTTGTCTGCCGCGGCTGGGTCTTGAACCCGCGACCATTATATATATATAATCTTATATATATATATATATATATATATATATATATATATATATATATATATATATATATATATATATATATATATATATATATATATATATAGATGACAAAATACAATATTCGTATCAACCAGTTCGACATTTATATACAACAGAATAGCTGGCTACGATCCGAGAGAAACCAATACTAAAAATGTACTAAAGTAATAAAGTTTTAATTTTCGACTGAATGTCTCAGCCTTCCTCAGAAATAATATTACTAATAATTTCTAACGTATATATATATACACCAATAATATGCAAATATTACAATAATGATAACTAATTAAGCTTAGTGATAGACAAAGAAGTCACTGTTGCACAAAATCATGACTATCATTTAACCCTCCCCGATTAGTCAAAAGGGTCCCAATCCAGAAGTTTTCACATTCCAACAGATTACCACAACGCTGATCAATCAGCATAAATTTCAAATATGAATGATCAGCCCCGTGGCAATCCAGGAAGTGATTAACAATACTACAAGTTCTGTGCCCACGCTTAATGTGTGACTTGTAGTTTGCAAGGCGGGCCTTAAAATTAACAGTAGAACCAACACCCTGCAAACCACAAGCCAAACATTCGGCAAGATATACCACTGCCTTGGACGTACATGTAAGCGATTTACAGATTTTAAAAACTTTCTTGGTAATAACGGAACGAAAAGTGTGCCCTTCTAACAAAAAATTCTTACAGCAGTCACAACGCTTTGCTGTACAATTAAAACAACCGAATTGTTCTACTTCAGTATTTTCCTTGCCATATGGGTTGGAGGGAGCCAATAACTCCTTTAAATTGGCGTTGCGCTTAAAAGACACACGAATAACCTTCTCGGGTAGAATATCTCTGGCCTTCTCATCACCACAGATAATGGACTTGTGATGTCTATTTATGATTTTTCGTATGTCTGGTCCACGCGGATTATACTTAACAACAATATCCTTCATTGGACTTTTTCTTACTTTTGCGTGCATCTTCCCTAGAAATTTTACCTACTTCCCTAAATTTATCTAAGACATGTTCTTTTTCGTGTCCGCATTCAATTAAATAATTAGCATATTCCGCACTTTTGGCACGAAAGTCCTCTTCCTTGGAGCATATCCTACGTAGTATATAATTGTTGTATATAAATGTCGAACTGGCTGATACGAATATTGTATTTTGTCATCTATATATATATATATATATATATATATATATATATATATATATATATATATATATATATATATATATATATATATATATATATATATATATAACAAGTAAAGCTTTTAAAGAGAAATAACTTGCATCAAATAGAGGAAGGGCTAACTTAGATTTTGATATATTACAGTTGTATTTCACTTAAAAATTCACGGAGATATTAATGTTTAAAATCGGGAGCATATTTCTGGATGTGTCTGAAATATGCAAAAAATGGCGTATCAAATATTAATCAAGATTTGCCCGACTGAAACATGCACGATTACCAGTAAATAAATGACACTTGACAAATTGTTTATTATGAAACAAAGTCTGTATTATTATATACAAAATACAAGCAAGATTTATTCGTCCGAAATCTGTGTGTGTTCCTAGCACGAATACGTTTCCTTATTTCATGAGACCACTGCATCGCGAAGGATCGTCATGGATCGTTCGTAGTTCTGAATTAGGGCATGCTGTCACAATGCAGTTGTGAAGCTCTTCTAACTTCTGCAATGTTCTGAAATCTTGTTAAGAACACTCAAACTAATTTGCCTTTTCTTAATCTTTTTAAGTTCACAATAAACTGAGAATGAAACTCAATCAAACCATACAACTCCATACCATAACAATTAAGCATGCAACTCCCTGGAGACATCCAACATTTTTGGAACAAAACGTAACAAAATAGTAGCGTTGATACTGTGATGTGTATTTGCAAAAAGCAATATTATTTCCTTCATTGCAGAATAATATTCATCCTGCTCTAACCGAGAAATAATCAACTCTGTTTTGAACCCATGAAAAACATAAAAAATTAGGCTAAGAAAAATTTAAGCGCCTGCCTTGCATGGTCTTTCATGTACCTTATAAATTTGTAAAGTTTGTAAAGACCTATTAAATATACTTGCATAATTTCGTACGTTCATATTTCAGGAAACAATGAGCTAAGACTTAGCTTACATGTAAGAAGCCTAAATCTACGCCATATCCCTTACAAACCCTAACGACAATTCGCTGCAATACAAGTTAACCTGATATGTCATCAAGCAAACAAACGCTGAAGTTAATGTTTGATATGCCGATTTTCGCTAATTTTAGACACATCCAAAAATATGCTCCCGATTTTGAACATTAATATCTCCGTGAATTTTTAAGTAACATTCAACTGTAATATATCAACATCTAAGTTAGTCCTTCCTCTATTTAATGCAAGTTATTTCTGTTTGATAGCTTTACTTGTTTAGAAGTTATTATAAATCAAACCGGAGTACTTTTTTTTGGGACACCCGGTATAATATATATATATAATAATAATATAATAATAATATATAATATATATATATATAATATATATATATAATATATATATATATAATTATAATATATATATATATATATAATATATATATTATTTAATATATATATATATTATTTAATATATTATTTAATAATTATTTAATAATTATATAATAATCCTTATGAAATCCACAGTTTGGCGTAATCGTCAATTTAAAACTCTCTAATGTCTCAACACATAAAAATACACAAAATCAATTACAAAATTCGAGGCCAAAGTGAGCCAGTCTCAAAAAAATAGTATAATAGTATAATGGTATAAACAACTTACCCTGACCTGGCAAAGGCTATATAGGCCAAGACTTGTAGTGTAAACACGACGAAAGAGTTAAACTTGTATTATTATAATTGCAGATTTGTGGCGATATTAGCACCAACTACGACATGAATGCAATCTCTCTCTCTTGTGAGGACACTTACCGCTAAAGTAATTTACAACACAACTTCGAGATCGTAAGCATCGAAATCAACAACTTAGATCAGTTGGCAGTGGGCTAAATAAATCAACTTCAAGAGATTGCTCCAATATACTGCAATTGTCACAAACTTGATCAGTTTAAATACGTTTTTAATACAATGTGCATACATAGCAAACTTTGTACTGTTTGTCGCCAAGGCCAAGCTAAGTAATTGTAATACCTTTACCAGGGACGCCGGAACTGGGGGGGGGGGGCAGGGGGGTTGCGGCTGCCCCCCTTGCCTTTTGCTAGGGGGGGGCAGGGGGGGCAGAAGTGCCCTTTTTGTTGTAAAATAATACGTGATAAATCACATTTCCAACGATGCTTTCCGTAGGAAAATCACGAGATTCAGGTAATTTATAGTTTATATTTATAAAAATTTTGGGAAATTTTTGGAATTTAGAAAAATATTTTGAAGAAATGGCGAAAATTTAAGATATTCGGAAAAATTTTTGGCTTCACGGAAAATTTTTGTATGTCCGGAAAAATTTTTTGACCCCTAAAATGGTACACTGACCGAAATTTTTTTGCAGTGAAAAAAAAAATTTGCAGTGAAAAAAAATTTTTCAGTAAAAGTGCCCTTGGTGTGCGTCCGCCCCCCTTTGCCCTATTATCGTTCCGGCGTCCCTGACCTTTACACTGCTTAATTTAGATTCCTACAAATGAGCCTTCGTTTAGGGCAACGTCTCAGAGGACTTTTTATATGCATTGCTACGCAAATTGTAAGTCAAATCAAGACTCATATACTAAATTTTTATTTAATAATTATTTAATTATTTAATTATTTAATATATCTGCCTAAAGTGCAACAAGGCTCGAAGTCTGGATAATCCAATCTCTTGTTGTTTTTAGCGAGTTTGGGATTTGGCTTTCGCCGCCACTACCGCTACCTCTCGCTGACCTGATGTGCATGTAATTGGTTAGCTCGATAAACTATAATAATATTGTTGGTGGCGGTAGTGGCGGTGGAAGTTGAATCTTGTCTTTGCTATGTATTGCATTGCATTGCATTGTATTACATTGTATTGCACTGCATTGCACTGCATTGCATAATATTCAATTTTGTTCTGTGCGATGTAGTTTTGTTTTGCGATACGTTGTTTTGTGTTGTATTCTTAAAATTTAACAATTTTTAAAGGGCCCACAGTAATTGGTGTATACTGTTGTGGTGTCCCTGCCACTTGTTTGTTGTAAGTGGCGAAGTTTAATAAATAAATAAATAAATATTTCAAAACTGATGTAAAAGCTGTTATAACATAGTTGTAATATCAAAAACTTTGTTAGCGGTTTGACGTTTTCCGTAAACGTCAATCTAAAATCTCTCCCTGTGGTCTGTGGACACACGTTGCCATGAAAATAAGGCCCAGGCCAGGACCGAAAGTGTTTACATTTCTACAAGCCTAGGCCTAGGCCACCGGTTGTAGTGGGCCCAGATTTCCTGGCCAAGGCTAGGCCAAAGTCTGTTTACACGCGATCGTATACTATCAAATTACGAAATTGTCTGAACAAAAATATAGACTAAACATACCTTTCGCCGAAAATAACCTTTGGCCCCTTCGAACATATCGTCTTTGTAATAGTCTTGTTGGAATCCCCATCAAAAACAGTATATAGAGTGTTATTTGTAAGCCTGTATGCTATCTTCAAATTTGCATCTTTATTTTCTATTTCTTGTCCGACTGTGAGCTCGAAGTGGGCTAATCCCAACCGGAAATATACGACTAAAAACCGTCAAAAAATGCGACGTTTGCATCGTATGACCTTGCAAATGCCATAAATAGATTCTACAGGTGAAATTGCACCTACACGCGTGAGTTTGACGTCATCCCGGCCACAGGAGCTTCTTATTGTCCAAGTATTGCGCAATGTACGCGCGTGCGAGTAAAACCCGACATCTTGAAAATTGATTCAAAATAAATATTTCTACTCGCCGTATTCAAACGAAATTTTGTATACGAAAGCGCTTGAATACAAAGAGTAATGGAAGAATGGAAGAATGCAGACGTAACACCTGTGCACAAGAAAGATCTGAAGGAACCTGCTGGAAACTACAGACCCATCTCTTTATTGTCAATAGTTAGTAAAGTGATGGAACGCTGCGTCTGCAACAGGTTCTATGCCCACGTGTCACGTCTAATCACAGAACTTCAGCACGGTTTCATGCGTAATCGTTCTTGTGTGACACAACTCCTTCCTGTTCTCCACTCTATTGGTAAATCACTCGACCGGAACACTCAAACTGATATGCTTTATTTTGATTTCGCTAAGGCGTTTGATTCTGTAGACCACGCCATTCTTATCCAGAAACTTAAATGGTATGGCGTAACGGGTCATCTCCTTAACTGGTTTAAGGACTATCTCAACCATAGATATCAGAGAGTTGTGATAGACGGTGTTGCCTCTCAGTACCTACCAGTCACCTCTGGTGTGCCACAAGGAAGCCTTGTTGGACCTCTGCTGTTTGTCATCTTTATTAATGACTTACCTGACTCTATCCAGGAACAGACGAGTTCAGCTCTCTATGCAGATGACACAAAATTATACCGCTCTATTTCGTCCCAAAGTGACTGTGAGAACTTGCAACGTGACATATCGAACCTAAATACTTGGAGTCATAACTCCAATATGAAGTTTAATGCCTCCAAGTGTAAGGTATTGACGGTCACTCGGAAGAAATTGCCTGTACTTATGAACTACCACCTGAACAACGCCATTTTACAACGCGTTCAACAGGAAAACGACCTAGGAGTTATCGTCAATAGCAAGCTATCTTGGGACACTCACATCTCCTCAATCGTCAACAAAGCTAACAGGATGCTCGGTCTCCTGAAGAGAACATGTCCTCTCATCACAGACACCAAAGTTAGACGAACACTTTATCTAGCCTTGGTAAAGTCGCAGCTGTGCTACGCAACTGAGGTTTGGTCACCTTCAAACGCAAAGTTGCAGATTCTCTTAGAACGAGTACAGAGACGGGCAACTCGATGGATTCTAAGAACTAAAGTTGGTGAGCTGCCATATGAAGACAGGCTGAAATCTCTAAACCTATTGCCACTAACTTATGATCGAGAAATCAGAGATCTTGTGTTGGTTTATAAATGCATTTTTGGTCATACCGATTTAAACATTAATCAACTTTTAACCTTCGTAGAGCACAATCGATCTCGCGCACAAAATCCAGCCCTAATGTTAAAACACTCCTGCTGTAAAACATCCACCTTTCAGGCATCGTTTTTTAATAGAATAGTAAAGCCTTGGAACTATATATGTAAAATAGCCTCTCCAGAAAAGTTTGCCAATGTAAATATTTTTAAAAGCTTTTTGCACAAGACATACACCGCCTTGGTGAACAGTACTTTTAATGTAGATATGACATGTACTTGGTCGCTCATAAGAGACTGCCCTTGTCACCGTACTTAAGTCCTAAGTTATATATGTATATATTCTGTATAGTAAATAAGTTTGTTTTCACTAGTTTAGTTTAGGGGTGGCGCCCTGCATGGGTCTCGTTGTCCCGTTTGCGCTAGCCCCATTGGACGTATACCCTGTAGTCTTTGTTTGTATAATAATATGTAACCTTTTATATGTATGTCCAATAAAGCTGTTAAAAAAAAAAGAAAAAAGAAAAGTATTTCACACTGATTGACTAGCTTGTTGGGAATTCTGAAGAGTGCAAGCGATATTCAAGATTTTCTCGATATGAAATTTAGAATCTTTGGCCAAGCGGTGAGTAAATATACGATTGTTTCGGTTTGTGTAATGTTTTGACTGCACTTGACCCCCGGCCGTTCGAAAGGTTATTTTGTGAGGATTTCAATGGTGGCTTTTATTTAAAGTGCCTATGCAACGAATTTTTCAGCTCATTTTTTATTGTTTTTCTAAAAAGTACTGCTGGAGTGATGAAGAATGACGTTTACAGTTTCGTCATATCTCATCTCGTTCTCAAGTTATCACACTTTCTATATTTTGAGTTGTGACGTCACAAGTATGAGTTGAGATAATGCCAATAACAAGAAAGTATGATATCTTGGTGAGTATTTAATAAAATTCAATGAAACTTGGTACACTTAGTGGGTGCACTCATATGAATATTTTTGGTAGGTCATGTGGTTGTCATGGCAACACACTAGTCCCCAGTCTTTTCTCTTCCTTTCACAACTTTCCTCCCGTGGACCTCTTGCAAGAGGATGTTTACATATTATAACGGTTTAAACTGATCACAATACCTACACGTATTATAGTAATAAGCGAAAATTGCAGAAATTGCTATTTATTTCGTTGAAAATGGATCATATAGAAATTGGAAGAGAAGGGACTGGGGACGAGTGTGTTGCCATAACAACCACATAGACAAGCAAAATTGTTGACTTTGTTGCACCCACTAAGTGTACCAAGTTTCATTAAATTTTATTAAATACTCACCAAGATATCATACTTTCTTTTTATTGCCATTATCTCAACTCATACTTGTGACGTCACAACTCAAAATAAAGAAATTGCGATAACTTGAGAATGAGATGAGATATGACGAAACTGTAAACGTCATTCTTCATCAATCCAGCAGTACTTTTTAGAAAAACAATAAAAAATGAGGTGAAAATTTCGTTGCATAGGCACTTTAAGGGTCGTAATGTATGCGAAACAGGGGTGGCAATCATGCGTCCATTTTTAATAAATTTAATTTGTTACACATACAGGGTGTATCACAAAAAGTAGACAATTTGGAAACGGCTTTCAATTTCACAAACCGTTCATGTCATGAAATATTTGATAACTAGAAAATACATGTATGCGGCAACCCCTCGCCTTTCTTAACAGATGAAGTATAAAAACCCCACATAAAGTATCAAGAGCATTATACTGAACAAACACAAAAACACAACTGATGCCGTGATGCGCTAGCTTTATAATGAACGATAACATTCACTGCAAATTCATGCATACCAGCTTGCATTAAAGTGAATTATCGAGTTAAGAATGCCTTAAAAATTTCGCAGATATGAATAAAACCGACAACACAAAGCAAGTACAGCATGGCATTTTACTACTAAAATGTTTACACTTACCCAATTAAACCGGCACAACAACGATTAAATTATCAAAAATATCAACATCATTACATCAAAACATCAAAACAATTATTATACAAACTTGTTTCACGGTTGAACAGCCACTAATTCATGAAACTGCAGGCTTATTTCCAGTTAAAATCGAGAAAAAAAGTGTTGTACTTTCTTAAACTTTTTAACGAAATTTAAAACAAAAAATTGCTTGTAAAACAGCAAAATACGTCCTATCAAAATGAACAGCAATTTACTTCGACAGATTTTGTACTCGCGCATGCGCATAACGTCGAAGACCGTCTCTTTTAGCAGCAATTAAAAATAGCTTGCTCGCGAAATTTAAAAAGGTTAAAACGCATTTTTAGTAATGGATGAGAAATTTGTTGTGTGTTTTATTAATGGCCCAAATATCAGAAAATTTGCTCAATTTAATTTGTGCTGTATTGTATATGCAATTCCAAAACTCGATATATATTCAATTATATAATATAGAATTGTAAATTCAGAATGCTGATTGGCTAAGAGCCATGTTGAAATAACACAACGTCAACACAGAAAATTTTGTTCTTTATATTTCTTTGAGCTATTATAAAACAAATATAAAGCATTTTTTTATTTTTCAGTATTGAAATACAGTTATATCAACGCTCGTGGAAATTGGGAAAACTCGAAATTGTGTAAAAGCACTCTGCCCTCTGGCGTCGTGTTTCCACACAATTACTCGTTTTCTCAATTTCGATTCGTGTTGATAGAGCTGTTTAATATAAGACAACTTTCCGAGCTGATATAGAGATATTAAACACTTGTGAAAGTTGGGAAAACTCAAAATTATGCGAACAACCTGACCTTTCAGGCGTCGTGTTTCCACAGAAATCAGTCATTTCCCAAATTCCACGTTTGTACAGTCTCTACAGGGTGTATAAAAAAGCGCAATCCTGGATTGAAATGTAAATTGCTAAACAAATAATAGACGAAAACGTTAAAGTTTAGATTCTTTTAAAGCGTAGCCATTCAGCTTTCCAACAGTGGGTCGTTTCTTAAATTTGACTCATATCATTGAATGGCGGTCGGTCACGCTTTGACGTGCTCCGCAATATTCGTTGTATGCTGTTTATACTATGACATTGGTGCTTGGAAATGGCAAAATATAACTCAGAGTTACTTTGCAGTATATCACAGCGACTGGGGACAGCAAAATGGTTCATTTGGTGGCAGGGCATTTTTTAAGAATTCGTCAGTGGGGGGGCCATCTACAAAAAGGGACCATACTATACCGAGTGTGGAGCAATGATAGATGGTTTGTTGGTAACAAAAGTTTGGTGCGGTATCGAATTTAATAGTAGGGGGGGGGGGAAGAGCAGGGCCGTAGGAAGCTCTTTTCGTTTGGGGGGGGGCTGAAAGCGAGGGCCGAAGGCCCGAGGAAATTTTTAAATTTAGAGTCTCTGAAATGCCATTTCCTGGACTTTGGGGAAGATTTGACAGATTTCTGATTGTCAGAAAAGTATGTGGAAATTTAGAATTCAGTAGTACTAAATGGGCAAAGGCGTATTTAATTAACAATATATTGGATAAGTTGCAGGAAAGTATGGGTAATATCTTCATTCTTTGCAGTTTGTCATGGATTAAATGATAAAGGTCTGCATGATTTTGAAAAATAAATGATTATTAGCAAATTATTGGGGGGCTGCAGCTCCCCTACAGCCCTGGAGAGGGTCTGAGGTTTCTCTCCCAGAAAATTTTTGTATTTTTCTACCCCTATGACTGCAATTCCCTGCATTTTCTGAAATAGATTTTTGGATATACAGCATTACATTATGCTGTAGATAGACTGAACCTTCAGTTAAGTACTTGCATAGTATGTTTATGTAGATACCACAACTTGGCCGTCACTTAGGGAGCCAGCTTGATAAACTTAGAGTTCCCGACTCCCACGAAGCGCCACCATGGTTGGCACAGAGCGGAAAAATTTTGAAAATTTTGCGTCTCTAAATCGTCGGAAATGGCATTTTCAAAGTCTTCTATATGTCTTTTGTTAGGCCCTTTCATTAATTCGTTCATTATGATTTGCAAGTCTATGATATCCGCGAGTCAGGATGGATTATTACGAGAAATGTTATAAAAATATCGATTACAGATATTTGATATATGTATATATGATTTCAAATACTTCTAGTTTCGAAATCAAATTGTTTTTTTTTGGGGGGGGGGCCAAAATTATCCTCCCCCCTTATAAAACACTTGGTTGAGGGCATGTTGCCCCCTGCGGTCACTAACTTGTCCAACAACTCAAATCTATAGGGTCTGGAAAATGCAATCCACTGCCTGGGAAATGTTTAAAATCTAATAAGGTATTTATTAAACATAAAAGACAAGACATAAGATTCACAAAGCAAATTTCAGTTACTAGAATATCAAACCTCCCTTCTAAATTCCATGTTTTGCTTATATTTTAGAGAAAAGGGACTTTGACTGGGGGGGCCAAAATTGTTGAGTGGGGGGGCCACCATGGGGGCTGGGGGGGCTTCGGCCCCCCCAGTTATATAGTTAAAAAATGCCCTGTTTGGTGGACTTTTCGATGCCGATGTATCGTGTGTAGCACAACGTATACTCAGACTTCAGGGCAAGAACAATGTGAACGGCATGGCTGATTCGTATGAAATGGAATCAATGGACGAGTCTTACAAACATAGCGATAAGTATTTTGAAGGTCTCATATACTGTACGTATCGCCAAGAAAGTAGCTACAGGATTACTAAGAGTCTAATATCGACGGCTAATTCTGCAACTGACAGCCATCCTGCCAGAATAGTTGTAATTACACACTCCCACTGGGGCGGTAACCATAATCTGTTTTTTAAGTACAAACAATGTCTATTAATCATAACAAATACTTCGTACTCATCATGCAAATTCAAGCGACTAAAGAGACCACTTCCCTATTACAATAATTCAAATGCGACACACAGGTTGCTCTTAATAATAGCCGGTGTCGAACAAAACCCCGGACCAAACAGCAAACCAAATGAAGTTCAACGGAAAGCCCCCCGATGCTCTGCTTGTGAAAAGCCTGTCGCTAAGAATCACAAACGCTTTGTCTGTGAAGTATGTCATGATTTTACTCATGCTCGCTGCTCAAACACTGCCATCAACCTTAAACTGTTTTGCAGCTCCTCTCCAAAGACTTGGACTTGTCAAAAATGTTTATTTACGGCATTACTATTTTGGAACGCAAATATCTCTGAAACCTCTATCCCCGACTGTGATTCGTTTGCTACCCAAGATGAACACTCATTAGTATTGCAAGCCAAATCTGATCAATTACGTATAATGCACCTAAATACCCAAAGCATGATGTCGACATTTGATGAATTTATTCTTACAATTAATCAATTCCCATTCGACATCATCACACTTAGTGAAACATGGTTAAAGGACAATCCGTACCTACTAGATTACGTTTCCATCCCTGGCTATGTAAATATATTTCGAAATAGAGATCACATTCGTGGTGGGGGTGTAGGTATATACTGTAGAGACCATATAAACTTTAAGCGGCGACAAGACATTGAGAAATTACAACCTGATATGGAACATATTTGGCTTGAAATTCCCGGACGTAATAAGAATAGTAAACTATTGCTAGGTGTGATGTATCGCTCGGAAAGAATTCTATCGAAGCAAAGTTGGCTGGACGGATTCGAAAGTATATTATCCTATCTGTCGACCCAATGGGATGGGCTACTCTTGATTACGGGAGACATGAATGTGGATCTATTGAATTCGAGTTCGCCATTGACTAAGCAATATTTGGAGATCCTCGACATGCATAACCTTCAACAAATGGTCACTAAGCCTACACGTATCACAGCTACATCACAAACACTCATCGATCACTTTATTACGAATCATCCAAATAGAATTACACATACAGATGTTATCCACTGTCCATTAGTCAGCGACCACAGCGCACCGTATGTTTGTGTAAATGCACGAGTCACGCGATTTTTACCACGATATAAGTACATTAGAGACGAGCGAACTTACACCGAGGCTGCGTTTGCGGAAGACTTTAGAAATATACCTATCCTATAAATATCGTGTACGGTGTCGATGACCCAAACGAGAAACTAGAATTATTTAGCACTATGTTTACCGACTGCCTAGAGAGACATGTACCAATGAAACGTGTTAAGATTACCCGCCCGCCTGCTCCATGGCTTAACGATGAAAATATCAGGGATCTTCAAGCGCAACGAAATAAACTTCGCCATGAAACTCGTAATACCAGCGACCCCACAGTTAGGGCTACTTACCGTGAACTGAGAAATATGCTTAAATCTAAAATTAAGAAGGCGAAAAGAAATTTTATGCAACGAGCTTTATCTAAACGAAACTCTAAGGCGGTATGGCAAGTCATCCACCGCGTCTTGAAGCCAAATCCACAACCACTAAGACAAGATCCAAACAGCCTCAATTCCTACTTTTGTAACATTGCCGAACGCACTGTTAATGCCACAAATAAAACAATCGAAGAGCTACACGCGATTATTGATTCGTTAGAGGAGTGTGGAAACAACTTTTGTACCCTACGTCCAGTTGCTTATCACGAAGTCCTTCGCGAAATTAAATCCCTTCGATCTGACTGCTCAACAGGTTCGGACCAAATTCCAGCAAAATTCATCAAATTAGTTGCAGAAGATATTTCATCTCCCCTGACCCATATTATTAACTGTTGTATCGAAAAAGAATACTTTCCTTCGGCGTGGAAGTTAGCTCGTACTTCGCCAATACCTAAAATCAACAATCCTACAACAAATAATGATCTGCGAGGAATATCTATTTTACCCGTTTTATCCAAAGTTTACGAAAAACTGGTATTAAGACAAATGGCCGAATTTATTGATTTGAAGCACTTGTTACCCTCACACATGTCTGGCTTTCGCAAGGGGCACTCCACTACTACAGCACTAATCAACATTAGAGACGATATTATTAAAGCGATGAACAGAGGAGAAGTTACGATTATGGTCTTTGCCGATTTTAGTAAAGCATTCGATACAGTGCACTTTGATATCATAATAAGGAAATTGCACTTGATGGGCTTCTCTACGCAATTTCTTCGGTGGATGATGAGCTACCTAACAGAAAGACAACAGTACGTCCAAATTGATGATAAGAAATCAGGAAAATTGTATACAAATTTTGGTGTCCCACAAGGTTCTATCTTGGGACCCGTCCTATTCAATTTGTATGTTGCCGACCTCGCAGATGAGCTAGGAACTGTGTGTAATTGCCATCAGTATGCCGACGACACCACGATCTATAACAGTGTAAAACCAAAAGATTTTCAACTGGGTGTAGAACAAATGAATAATTCCCTGACGAACCTAACACGTTGGTCCGATGAATCTAAACTTGCTTTGAACAACAACAAAACTAAAGCGATGTTGATCACAACTTCTCAAATGGCAAATTACCATTCGCTACGGACAGAAGGCATGATGAATATTTGCTTGGACAACAACAACAACAGCTGTAACAATAACAGGAACAATAAATTCCTGGAGGTAATGGAAAGCTATAAGTTGTTGGGAGTCCATTTGAGCAACAATCTTCGTTGGGACAAACATATTAATGAAACAGTTTCCTCGTGCTATGCTTCCCTGGCTATCTTGCGTAAACTTCGTAATATGGCGCTCTTCGATTTGCGGAAAAGATTAGCTGAAACCCTTATACTATCTAAGCTCGATTACTGTGACTTGGTATTTTATCCTCTTCCTGCCAAACTACTAAAGCGTCTCCAGCGAGTTCAATCTTCCGCCGCATGCTTTGTCACAGGAAAGTTTTCAAAAGAAGACGCTGTTTTGAAATTGGGCTGGCTCCCACTGCTCGAAAGACGAGACTGGCATCTGCTAAAAACTGCTTTCAAAGCTTTGAACTATGACCAGTGGCCAGAATATGCAAAGCTAAAATTATATAACCCAGGGAGAAGTGGACTTCGATCTTGCTCGAAAGATCTCTTAGAAACACCAATTGATCGGACATATTTCAATATTCCGCAGCTAAATGTTTCAATAAACTACCTCAAACCCTAAGGGCTGAGAAAAACTTTGAAACATTTTGTGCTGAAACAAGAGTATTTCTCTTCGATCAAGCAAGAGAACGTTTGGGTTAACTTTTACGTTCCAGTACTCTAGCATGTGCATGTACAATATTTTAATGTTTTAACTAATGATAAGGAGTAGCATATATTATAAGTAGTATATAAGTAGTATATAAGTAGTTACATTGTAGATGAAGAGCCATGTAAAATGGAAGGCTACAATAAATTCGTTATTATTATTATTATTATTATTATTATTATTATTACTTTACGTTATTGCGATTGGAGATTAAAAAAATTGAGATGGAATAACAAATCGTTCTTCATGAAAATAACTGTTTTTTCATTAAAACAAAAAAATGTTGCATTTTATTAAATGGATTGTAACAATAAGTATATTTACGGCTTTTCTTCCACTATTTTGAACTCAGTTTGAAACATCAAATGCGATATAATTTTGTCTTGGACCATCTAAGCTGACTGACATCAACTTGCTATAATTTCTGTTTACATTACATCGCAATTCGATGACACTCTGGCTCAGACACCAGAATGTTTTGACGATTTTTAGCATTCGTTTAGGATTTTCAAACAACCTGGTCTCTTTTAAAATACTTTTAATTTGTTCTTACGTGGTTTTCCAGATGTAGTGGCGACAACATTAAAGTTTAAAGAAGAAAATTCTAACATTTAAACCGACTAAACTATAACATAGTAAACTTGCATAATTAAACAGCAACTAAATATGATAGGTTTTACTAAATCTTTTCCTGTGCAATTATTACTAGCATTGGAGACAAGGATAATAGTTTGTTTGAAAGAGAAATGAACAGGCTTTGAAGTAAGCCTAAAAGCGTTTAACTAGAAATGGTATTTCGAAAGTTATTAAGCACAAAAGATGAATTGCGTTTATTTTGATACACCCTGTATATAACTCTATATCAACGCAGAAAAATGTTTTATAATTATTGAATGTCCAAGATATTGCCATATTCTTTTAATTCAACACAATGCAGTGATAATTGTGCTTCTGTGTTGTGATATGAATTCCAATTTTTTCTCCCAAAGAATAGGCTAACCAAATGTACGTAGTGGGTACATATCTTTTAAGTAATGTCATTATTTAAAAAACCTTAGGTTTTCCAATTTCTAGCAATATATTACCCCTGATCGATCTTTTGTTATGAAGCAAATTTAAAACACTTAAAACAAGGGCAGATTTTCATATTTTTCTTCTGGGGGGAAGGGTGCAAAAATTTCTGGGGTGGTGGTGATGATCTTGTGCAGGGGCGGATCCAGGGTTTTTCATGACCGGTTTACTAGGTTCACCCAACTAATAGAGGGTCCGAAAAAATTTAAAATTTGGTGCTCTGAAACGGCAAATTCCTGCCTTCTGGCGTCACTTTTAAAATTAATTTAATTAATGATTAGAAAATGCATGTTTTTAAGTGAATTCAGTTTTACTAATACGCAGCTCAAACAATGAATTGAACCTTTTCCGAAGCGTATTAGCTAGTGCCTAGTGATAAAAATATAGGATCCGCTAATTGCTGACAGTCACATCGATTTAGATCTACATGCTTTCATTCCAACTCTATTAAGGACGAACTAAAAACCAAAATGCAATAGCGTGAAAGCTTCCGAATCATTTCCTGATTCTCAATCGCCACAGCAATGATCAGTGGGTCTAAATACGCTCGGTAGTCCATAATCAAATTTCAATAATAGATTAGACAACATCAATTTTATGGAACAGAATATTCTTTAAATTAGTTATATACATGGAAGGTTATAGATTTTCTTTCTTTGGAAAATCTGACAGGTTTATGAAATTTGAATTGCCTATGAATGGAAATGTAAACCTGTCAAACCTGTCTCAATCCATTGTGAATGTGCGAACGCGTGGTGCCGATGAGCATGTGAATTTATTTTTTGTAAGTGTGTTTTACTTTTACGTTAATTTGCTGCACAAAAGCGTATGTAGAAACATGTTACTTTTAATACTTCTATCTTACTCAACGGTAGTTTAATTTAATGCATTTAAATTGTGGCAGGGACAGGGGGGTGTACATTTAATTGATGGGGGGGGGGGGGGCACATTGC